CTTTTCAGTACACTTTTAAAAGTCTATCGAAACGTCAATGACGTCTGTTTGGAACGTTTAGCCGATGGCTCGGCCAAGTTTTCGTGATAATACAATGATAAGAGTTTACCCCCACTCTTCTCAGGGATAAATACAAAAAAATCGAGCGTACAAAAAAAACAGAATTGTAGGAAATTTAATTTTAAACAACTTTGTTTATAACAATTTTTCTCGTAAAATTGAAAATAAATGAGTTATTCTATAACCCAAAATTCACCCCCTCTTTTCGGGTATAAATCGAAAAAAATCGATCGTACAAAAAAAAAGCAGAATTGTAGGAAATTTAATTTTAAATAACTTTTGTAAAAACTATTTTCCGTGTAAAATTGAAAATAAATGAGTTATTCAAGATACAAAAAATAACCCTTTAAATCAAGCTGGCGGAGGTAACGACAACTTTGGAATCCCAACTTTTTGAAATTAGACTACCACAGACCCTCTCCAACGAATTCCGAAGGAAAATTGCTGCTTCGAATTTTTCAGAATCTCAAGCCTGTTCTTCACCTAATCCGATTGGGCTAGCAGTAGCTTATTTACAGAAAAAAAAAATGACTACATTTGTGCAACTTTATTACTGATAGCTACAGCTAAAGTTAGTCCTCTCAAACCTTGATCCGTACCCAGGCTTAAACTTCAAGCAGTGGTCTTATGTATAGCGGTTTGGCAACAACAATCTAGCAAGAAATTTAACAATCACATATCTTAATTTACATTAGAAGAAATCTAAATCCCATGATGTTACACAAAACTTTTGAAGACTGATGATCAAGTAGAAGTCCACATATTTTGCGATGTAGTAAAGAAGCATTTGCTGCAGTAGCTTTTTTATTGATTATTAAAAATGACATTTGTGAAACTTCATTATTGATAGCTACAGCTAAAGTTAGTCCTGTCAAACCTATATCCATACCCAGGCTTGAACTTCAAGCCGCGGTCTTAGGTAGTCGTTTAGCAAGAACAATCCAGCAAGAAATTAACATAAGCATATCTAAATTTACCTTTTGGTTGGACTCGACAACGGTTTTGTCTTGAATTAGAGGGGACGGACGAAATTATAAGCAATTTGTGGCTGACAGAGTAGGTGAAATTCAAGAAACCACTAAAAGCTCATGGAGATACATCTCGACTAATTTAAATGTGGCAGATCTGGCTACACGCTTAAATTTCAATGAAAAAGACAATGCCAACTTCTACAGGTTATGCTTTACTGAACCTAATATCTTAAAGAATGATAATGAAACTACAACAGATTGGTTAAGAGATAAAGAACTTCCTGACTACAATTTTGAAAAGGATACTGAAAGGAAAGTAGTATGTTTACTAAATAGCGAAAACATATCAACCTGTTTAACACCAGACATGAGCAAATTTTCGAAATGAAAAAGACTAGTTAGAACTAATGTTAAGGTGGAGGTTTATGGACCGGAAATGATTTAAACGTTAAAGAACTTCAAAACAGAGAAAGAAAAATTATTAGAAAGGCACAAGAAGAATTGTTTTTAACCAGTAAAATATTTAAGCTAAACCCCTGTTTGGATGAGAATAAACTATTACGACTACTTAAGTGGAAGTTTGAGTAATGCCACGTACTTACCTAAACATGTTAGAAACCCTTATATTTTAGATAACAAAAATTTACAAACGATTCTAGTAATATAATTTTATTATGAAGTGTTTGGACACCATGGCATTGAAACAATACTTAACGAAATTAGACAAACATTTTGGTTAATCAAAGGTGGAGCAGCTGTAGAGAAGGTATTTTCGAGTTGTTTGTTTTGTACAAAAAAGAAAGACAGTCCAGAAATACCTCTCATGGGAGATTTACCAGAAGAACGACTTCAACCTGGCGAACTCCCATTTACTTATGCAGGCGTAGACTATTTTGGAACTTTGACGTAAGCGCGCATTTGTACTTATCTGACGGACGCATCGGTCATACGGATTTGGAAAATTTTCCATTACTTTATAGGAGTCATTGATTCGTATCGAACGTATCGTATGGACAAAAATCCATTAAGGATTCTTGAACAAGAACTAAATCCGTCAATCCGATGCGTGCGGATGACGACATTCGGAAAATCGAATGTGTAGGTACGCGATAGGACACGGCAAGATTCGTTTCGGATTAATCGTATTCACCATATCTGTAACGCGTGGAGGGTGGGTCAACTCTTCACAGTATAATTAACTTGTTTGTGAAATATTTTTATATTTAATTTGTTTTGCTTCTCTATAGACGTACGTAAAATATTTAAAAGATCCAAACATTGTTTATGTGTCATTCGGAAGTAGTTATTGGAAAAAAATTGCTTCATGATGTATTAAACCACTAAACAAAGTATGAAATTATTCATAAAGCTTCCGATTGAAAATTATATTATGCATCCAAGCGAGTTTTTTTGCTCTCTGCGTTCTTCATCTTCAAATGCACATACAATTTTAAATAACAATTCTTCTTCAGAACTATACTCATTCAAATGCCAACAGAAAATAGAAATTATGTCGTATTTTGATTACCCTGAACAAAAATACGGAAATCCGATCCGATTTGCGATATCTATAAAAAAAAGTACGATGCGTCTGTTCCGTCCGATACGTACAAATACGCGCTTTACCTTTAAACGTTACAGTTGGAAGACATAAAGAGGAAACATACGGGGTGTTATTTACTTGCCTTACAATTTACATTTCAAGGTAGCACATAATTTAACTTCAGACTCAGCAATAATGACTATTTTAAGGTTTTTCAATAGAAGAGGAGTACCTAAAGTAATTTAAAGTAATAAACCGAAATTGGAATAACTTATTACATGGAAATTTATACCACCAGGGGCGCCACATATTGGGAGGGTGCTGGGAGCGATTAAGTGTCAATTGAAAACATATTGAACGAGGAAGCACCGCGAGAGGAAACACTGCTGGCCATGTTTCCAAAAGTTGAGTACGTCATAGTAAACAGTCGACCTCAAACTTATGTGTCACCTGATCCATACGATTTATTCAGCATTACTCCAAACCATTTCTTAAAATGAAAATATTCGCCTCCATTAGACCGTGGAAAATTTGACACCCAAGAGTATAAAAAGCAATGGAAGAAAAGTCAGAGAATGGTCGATCTTCTGACTTTGATGAAAAGATCCAAATTGAATGATAAAGTAGGGAGCGCATATGGGGAGATTATCAATCTGTCAAACGGCTTTAGAGAGAAAGTTGAGTATAGACTCCTGATACTCGCAAAGGAGTTCTGAGCTGGTAAGGGAGAAGGGCAAGTAGTTTTTACAACAAACAAAGCTGTACAAAAGCGAGCGATAAAACACTCTAGGCGAGTAGAAAAAGAATGGTATGGTGTGGAGTAGTTAATCAATTTAGGTGCGAGTAAGCGTACAGGCAGCCAGGGATAATATTTGGGAAAAGCAGAAGGCGTAAGGAAATACAGGGAGCCGTTTTCAGAAAACGCTCCGAGAAGGAAAGGAAATTCTCATTATAACACTCAATACTGTACAAAATACTGGTGAGTAAATGTTGCAGGTAGTCAAAACTGCCTATTAAAAGTAAAAATAGATTCTTAAAATTAGTATTTAACGTTCACTAATTGTTTACAAAAATGACTTTTTGTTCATCAAAAATTGTTTTGACACATGACATGTATGTAAGTTGGTAACACAGAACAATTAACTAGCATAAAACAGAAAAATTAACATTCGAAAATTAAAATCTTTTAAAAAAGCATTTGCAAGTCCTGACGTTAGCAGTAGTAACAAATGAACAGGAAAAGTAAGAAAAGCTGAAAAACCGAAGAGTAATGTTAAAGATTAAAAATTGAAGAAGTCATAATAAGAAGAAAAGTTGAAAAATATGATGAGAGGTATGTCAGTTGTCAATGTCGATATGTCAAAGTCAAAGTACTATCAAAATGTAAATATGTAGAGAACTAGGGACCGATTCCATCGTTGTGTTAAACGAAGTTTAAAATGACATTTTTACATTAACAATGTCATTTTAATCTCCATTTAACACAACGGTGGAATCGGCCCTAAGGTGTTTAAATTTAGAAATAAACGATAGAAGTAAGGAGAATGGAAAATAAGGATGAAGAAATAAAGTAGCTTAAAAGTTTCTACATCTGAAAACTCCTTACTAACACGTACTAGCGGTTTAGTGCCAACTAAGCACATCTCCAAGTGGTGTATAGGAGAACGGCCAGGATATCCTGGTTAGTGGTATACATAAGTAGACTGAGAGAGCCCAAAACCTCTCAAAACTTTTGTAAAGGGTACCGCCGCGAATATCCCAATCTAAGGTAAAGTGCCGATGGATGAATTGTCGCAGGTGTGCATGTGGCATCTAACGTTTCCCTGGGGACACCGGGCAATACCCTTTTGTATCTAGCCTTGCCGGCGAATATGGGGCTTTGCGTCGGTTGACTTTTCCTTTACTAGCTGCTCGTGGGACTATATAGACACAAGCAAGATTCTAAAAAGGAACAGCGAGAAGTCACCGTCATCAGTGGGATATTACCCTCCTTTATGGATAACGAAATGACGGGTATTAACATCGCCCAAGTGAATATCCATAACCAGATTCGCATCGACTGTGATTTCCAGGACATTTATTAAGAACCAATTCAGGGATCGTACTGATTTAGGAACTGTGGGCCTATGAAAACCAGGTAAGAGGACTTGCATTTAAAGATGTAATGAAGTACCCAGGACATGTATTAAGGAATAACATTAAATATTCTTGTCTTTCAGAATTCATGACGTAGGATCTCGTTCTAATTCGAGCATACCTCGAAATTGGGATGATACGGCATCTAAAGAAATAGCTTCTAGTTACTTCGCAGGGAATAGGCCTGTACCACCCCCGGAAGTATCATTGATAGTGGAGTACTGTCATTACTTCTTGGATGCGATGCCAATTAACGCACATAGTACCATATGGGAGAAGCAAGAACCATGGGCGAAGTTAGGGGGGGGCTTGGGGGGGCTAAGCCCCCCCAAAAACCAAATTAGCCCCCCCAAAAATAATTCAAACATTTATCACACACTCACCTATCCACACCTTCCAGAACAGAAATTAAAAACCAAAAAGAATCGTTTCATTTAATTAATTCTGCAATTCTACATTTAATAATTTGTGATTCAGACTTGAAATTGCAAAAAATTGACGTTCACTGAATCGGCCGAACCTGCATACACGGATTATCTTGTAGTCTGGCACCGCCGCAACTGCAACCCCGAGTCGCTAGTGGGTTTGTACCGTTTGCAGTATTCTCTTTGCACTATTGCAGTTTGCAAATTGGCTTCAGAGAGGAGAGGTTTGTTTGTTTCTCGACACTCGTGTTACTTATTTTGATTTGTTGATTTCACATGTTCTATTTTAATTAAATTAATATGAAGAAAATTAGTGGTGATATTCGTTCTTTTTTTTTGAAAGTTAATAAATCTCCAAGAAAACCTGCTAATGACTCACCTAGTGGCAGCGTTACTGATACTAATGATATTGTAGACAAAGCAGGTACAAGTGTAACAATAGAAGCACAAGATGAAGGTAAGAAAAGTTGATCTTGTAGGTACTTTTACTTTTAATTCACAGAAAAAACGATTACTCACTTAAATAAATTTTCAATTTTTTCTATGTATAATAAAAAAGTTTAAATCGAGTTAAAAATAGACAACAAAATGTTTGTTTAAATTAAAAAAAAAAAAGCTATAGTTTATATAAATAATGTTAATCTAAATAAATTTATTCTCAATATAAAATGCATTGTAAAATATCAATTTTATATTATAAAACATCTTTTCAAGTCAGTAAACCGATATATAATTCTAAGTTTTTAGTTTTTTTTATATGTAGTTACTAGTTGTTCTCTGCAGCATTGTTTTCTTCTCAATCGCGATCGCAGAAAGAAGGGTGTCTTTCCATCAGCTGGGAGAGGTTGAGAGTAAAACATCCTACGGTCTATTTTTTTTTACTATATTTATGTTAGCCCGAGTAAAACAGATTTATGTGTATGACGTTAATGCTTAAATTACTGGTAGTTTTCTATAAGGGAGATAGATATATTTTTGCACTCAAAATGCAGATATGCAAAGTTGTAAAAATATGTTTTTCCTGGAAATGGAAAAACTGTTAAATTGTGATTACTCTTGCTATGAGCCAGAGCCGTTTTTCAATTTTGTGAAAAATTTTTAAATTCGGTGATGTAATATATTAAATGAATAATAAAATATATTGTTGTTCTTATGGTTAATATATATTATTTATAAGGGGTGATTTATGTGGATTATAAATAGTTTAACTCAAGTATCTGTGAAAAAATGCTTATCATTTTTGAACCTAGCTTTAATTTTATTTTAGTCAACACCCTCCGATATTTTAATTAATAAATAATGTTAGTTTACAGTTTTTTTTTTTTAGAACCGCAAACTATTCCTAAACAAACGACTCATGATAAGCTGGTACTGGTAAATGATTTGCAAGTTTTAGACGACCTGGGCACTTTTCAAACAGGACCAAGACAACCGATTCTAGAAAAATATCCATCAACGAAAGTTGGAATTCAAAACCGAAGTTTTTCTGCGAAGTATTTTAAGCAGTATGGATGGGTTGAATATAGCATAAACATGGATGCCATATTTTGCTTTTGTTGTCGGATTTTTGGTAAGGAGGAAGTTAATGAACCCATTTTTACCAAAACGGGATTTAAAAATTGGAAGAAAATAGCAGAGAAATTGTCGAAACATTCTGAAGGTAAAGCACATATTCAAAACAATCAAAAATATGTAATATATAAGGAAACATTAAAAGCAGGCTCTGTTGCTACACAAACTTCTTCAGCATATAAAGAACAAATCATTAAAAATAAAGAATATTTTAAAATAATATCGGATGTCTTACTAACACTATGTCGACAGGGTATTGCCCTTAGAGGTCATGATGAATCAGAGGATTCTAAAAACAAAGGTAATTTCAAAGAAATTTGTGAACTTGTAAGTAGACACAATCCATTATTTAAAGAACAGCATACAAAATATTTTAACTTGACAAGCTCTGATATACAAAATGACATAATAAATATAATTGGAAATATGATTTTAAACACCATTATTGACGAAATCAAGGAGTGCGGTATGTATGCATTAATGGTCGATGAAGCACGTAGTTTTAAGGAACAACAACTTTCTGTTTGTGTAAGGTATGTTAAAGGATTTCAAATCGAAGAAAGGTTTTTGGGTTTTACTAACTGCTCCCAGGAACGTGATGCTACATCTCTATGTAATATTTTACTAAGTTATTTAAAAAAAGTCGGACTAACAAATATTCCCATCATTGCACAATCATATGATGGTGCAAGCGTTATGTCGGGTAGAGTTGGAGGTTTGCAAGCAAAGATAAGAGAGAGACATCCTTCTGCAATTTATATACACTGTATGGCGCATAGATTAAACTTGGTCGTAACCGATTTATGTAGTGAAATAGACAGCGTCAAAGACTTTTTTAATACCGTAGAAGCACTTTATGTTCATTTTTCTTCTCCAGGTAATCATAGTGTTTTAATCAAAATTCAAAAGGAACTGGGTCTTTCAAAGATCGAGTTAAATCGCTTATCAGATACTAGATGGAGTTGCCGCAATACTAATTGCCAAGCTGTGAAAAAAAATTATTCGTCAATAATTAATGCCCTTCAATTCGAGATCCAACAAAACTATAACAAAAATGTTGTGGAAGCAGTTGGCTTGCTGTCCAATATGAAGTCTTCGAAATTTTTAGTCAGTTTGATAATTATAGAAGAAATACTAACTATGATAAATATTTTAAGCAAACAATTGCAGTCAGAAAATGGAACTATGGCGGAATCTACAAATATAATTAATGGAACTATAAAATCGTTGGAGCAAAAACGTGACGAAAATGTTTTTGCACGATTGTGGCTAGATATAGAAGACTTGGCCAAGAAAAATGACATAGGCCTTGATCTACGTTCTTCAAAACGCAAAAAAGCTGAAAATGTATATCTTAAAGACTATGTCGTAGAAGCATCCACTCCTGCAATTGACGATTTTAAAGAAACATTAGCCCAATCAACAGTGGAAAATCCTGCTCAAAGGTTTTGGCTAACTACCGTGTATTACAGATCATTGGATCATGTCATAAATCACATGAAAATAAGATTTTCGGCTGAAAGTCAAAAGTTAGCTGTAGCTGTGCATAATTTTTTACAAATGAATTTTGATGGCAGTATGGAATTTATTCAGTTCTATGCAGACACTTTTTTAAACATTGATAAAAATGTTTTAAAAGCTGAAATGACTGTAATAAGGAACTGTATAGGAAAAGAAGGCGAAGATATTAGCATATCCGATATTACTTCTGTTGTCACAAAGACCACATTTCCAAATTCATATAGATTTTTGCAAATTGCGTTAACGTTGCCAATTTCCTCTGCTTCATGTGAAGCACAAGGCTCTGGCAAAATGGAGAGTGGATACAACTATGGCTCTCAAGAAACCAAATGGAAGCCTCACGATATATGAGGAAGAAACAGCTAGCTTCTTACCCGAAACTCACTTTCCGAGGAGCGCACCTTTTTTAATTCGAAACACAAGTAAGATAAGCAGATCCTTAAGAGGACGTTGCAATGGCCAAACAGATTTGCAACAACAATCGCTTAAAGTATGCCATGAACACTTTGGAACCGTTTGTCTCCAGGAATGGAATATTTCCTACCGGATATTTCGGAGCACATTCTGGAACACATCCTAAATCCTTCTGAACCATCTGCCTTACATCCTTTTTATTAAAAACAATAAAGAAGGCTGTTAATAATTATGTCAGAACAGAAATCCTGGAGAGGGTGCCACTCCTCTACAGCCAGCACGCGTACCGAGCAGGAGGATCTATAAAAACTGCCCTGGCGAAACTGATGAAACTCAGAATGCACTGACAAACAAAGAAATCATCGTGTTTGGCTTCTTAGATATAGGAGTGTTTGACAACACGACACACAAATATGTCAAAAGAGCACTCGCATACAGAGAAGTAGATAGCACCACATCCAGATGGATGACTCGGCTGCTATCTACGAGAACTGAAAGACACTTTCTACATCTTCATAACCAAAGGACGAGTTTTATCCCCACTAATGTGGAGCCTAACCGTAGACAAACTTCTATGCAGATTGACTGACCTCGGCACACGCTGTAAAGATTATGCCTACAACATAGTCATATTTGCTAAAGGCTAGTTTGGAAATATACTGTGTGATATAGTCCAAAGAGGACTAGAATACACCAAAAAATAAACTTAGTATAAACCCCACCCAAACAACACTAATAGCCTTTTGAAGGAAAAGACATTTCAATCTTTAAATCGTCAAATTAGGAGGGATAGATATAGTAATATATAGGCCTAATCCTGGACAACAAACGTCTTTGGAACATACATAAGAAGGAAGGAGAAAATAAAGCCACAAAACTCCTAAAGGTATGCAGAAACAATGCGGGTAAAAGATGGGATGTAACCCGAATACACCGCGATGGATGTATACAACAGTCTTCACTCACTTATGGGGCTGTAGCCAGGAGTAACAGAACTAGTTAAGCTACTACGACAGCTAATATCTCAAAAAAAACCTGTCATACGGTCGCAATGGACGTGATTTTAAATCTTACCCCTCTACATTTAATGATAAAGTATGTGACCAAAAAGACAAGATATAGAATGATCAGGAACGGGAGTAATCAGAAAAAGTCTATTAGCTTTAGGATCGAAGATACTTGGGATATGCCCCAGGACGAAATAAGAAAAAAAGTACAGTTTTTTAAAGAACTTTAAAACCACAGGGCTGGGTTGCAAGAAATAATGGAGCAAAGAATACATCGTGCTTACAATCGAAAGAAATGCCATTCAGTGGTATACAGATGGTTCCAAAAACCATAGAAGGAACTGGAATAGGAGTATATGGGCCTAGAACCAGGTACTCTGAAAATTTGGGTAAATACCCAAGCATCTTCCAGACGGAAATTCATGCAATTGCGAACTGTATCCAGTTCAACATCGAGAGAAACTATCCCACACAAGAGATTATCATCATATCCGATGATAGCCAAGTAGTAATCAAAGTGCTGAAAAAGTATCTGGATATCCCTAGAAAAATTTAATGAGCTAGGAGAGAAAATACAATTACTTTCACTTTGTGGCACCTGAACCATTCTGTGGTATCAGTAGTAATACAATATTAGGACAGATTAAAAAAGAATTGGGCAGTAGAAGAACCGATAATTGGAACAATCTCTTGGGGTTAAGACAGAGTAAGATACTTCTGGGTGAATTTAACCAGGAAAAATCCGAGGCCTGTATTAGCCTGATCTAGAACAGCCTATGCATTGTAATAGAGATCCTTAGTGGGCATTGCCGACTCAAAGGACGTCTTAGTAAACTGAGAGCAGTAGAAGATATGAGTGCAGATTATGTAAGAATCCAAGTGCAGTATACTTAGGAGAATACCAAATAGAAGAGGTCGATCTACTTAAAGCTACTAAATTCTTCACTTTACTTGACAAAATAGGATTAGAAGAATCGTTTTAGGCATAGAGACTATTTCCTCGGCCCATTAGCGACAGAAGGGAACACAATAGATTTTTTAATAATGTAATATAATACGTACTACAAACTAGCATTTTGGATACAGTGGATACAATTTTTTCTATGTGTGATATAAATGTAAGCTTTGGGTCAAAGGTTATACCAAGATCGACAAAATATTCAGGTCTTTGTAGAGATGAGTAATAGTATAGGTTTTAATGAAAATGTAAAACATTTGAATGAATTTAAAGGAAAAAGGTTTAAGCGAGACCAATTTCTTAGCCGACCGCCGCGCCGCGCGCCGGCGGTAGTTGATATTAAAAAAACGAAAACCGTCTTCCGGCGGGATGGTCTTCTCACATATAAGAAAGCCGCCGAAAATCTAAACTGATTTGTTGATGAGGGCGGCAGGCTATCAGAGTATTGATAAGGCCGCCGGACGACGGTCTACTCTATTTGAAAGATTGAATGCCGGTGGTAAGAAAAAATACTTGTAAAATCGTCTAAAATCGCCGAAAAAAACTCGCGTATCGGGGACAACACCAATCATTTGTAATTGCTGTGGTGGGAGGTATTTGTGTGAATGCGTCTTGTTTGTTTTCATTTACGCCGTGGCTAGCAGTAGTATTATATACATGAACAAATAATAATAATGCCGTGACAACAAGAAGACGAATCAACGACTTCTCGTAGGGTGGCGGCTTCGCCGCCACCATAAAATTTCAATCCATACCTGACTACGCCGACCGGCATAAACACCAACGGCCTGGACACAGCTCATCTACTCTGTCAAAAGGAGACCGATGTACAAATAAAACGCGTACGACATATGATCATTTGCCTCAAAAATGTAGACGACTTTACAAGTATTTTTTTCTTACCACCGTATTCAATGTTTTAAATACAGTAGACCGTCGTCCGTCGGCATTTTTCAATTCACTGATAGCATACCGCCCTGATCAACAAATCAGTTTAAATTTTCGGCAACTTTCTTATATGTGAGAAGACCATGCCGCCGGAAGACTGTTTTCTTTTCAACAAATGCAAGCATCGCCGGTCGGTTAGCCAGTATGTTAATAGAAATTCAATGAATGTTTTTTAAGTGATCCTCATGTAAAAGATAGTGTAAATTTTATATAAAAATTAGTCAGTGACAGTTAATATCTATTTCGTATACAGTATGTTTGCAGGTAAAATATATGTAACATTCTTCCCCCCGAAGTTAAGAAAAACATCAAAAATAAATAAATTAAACAAATTAAATTCATTTTACCACTTCTATTTTCTTCTTCTAGTTTTTTTCTTCCGACCTTATTTTTTGTCTTGGTCGATTGCTATTCTGGATAGTTTGTTTACCGGTCTTTTTAAAATACCTGTTGCTGTTTGAATATCGGCAACTCTGATTATTCGGTCTCATCCAGGATATGTTCTCAGGATTCTTCCTTTCGGCCAGTGATTTCTGGGGGAGTTATTTTCTACAATTATTACGATATTGTTTTCTTTTAGATTCTCAGAGCCGTCAAACCATTTAGTCCTATTCAGAATAGGAAGATATAAGGAAGATATTCTTTTAACCACCGTTTCCAAAATTTGTCTGCTAACTTCTGTCCAAGTTGCCATTGCTTTCGAAGATCGATATTCTCGATGTCGAGACCCGGTGAACCGATGGATTTTTCAATTAAAAAATGATTTGGAGTTAAACATTCTTTATTTCTCTTCTGGATCTGTAGGTATGCTATTAACGCTGAATTCAATTTCGCATAGTGTGACGAAGTCACTAAAATTCCCATTAATTTATTCCATAAATTAATTTCTAAAATTAATTTCCGTCTATGAACATTTTCAAGACCCCCTGTAACTAATGTTTCCATAGAATTACCGTTTTTAAATCTTTACAAGAGCCCTCGTAGTTTAAAACTTTTCAATATCACATTAATGTAAATCGTCTCGTAAAATTGCAATAGTAGTAGATTTTATCAGTAAGCTGATCAATTAACGTTTTTTTTGCAATAACAATTTATTTCCTCTAGGTGGGGCTACCGCCCCACTCCGGCAAAAGTACGAATTCTGATAAAACTAGATGTTTGCGATGTAGGAGACCTCTTTTCCTGCTGCTGCCGTCAGTGCTCTTTTCCTGCTGTTACCGTGAGTTGAAGAATAAAAGTTGCCTTGCTGTAGTGCCGATTATACCGCAAAGCGATTTTGCTGAAAAGTTAATTAAGGTAGGCCTTTTTATTTAAAATTCCGTCTAATAATTCTCCCTGTAACATTCACTTCCGTACTATTAATTACATGAGCTATTCGACCGATATTTTTGATTTCTTAGTGCCTGTCAGGGTAACGAATTGTATTTAAATCCGGGGCGTTAGTGCCCTTCAACCATTTTCGTGTTAACCAAGGGATGATAGTGGTATTCGCTTGCTATCCCTGTCGAGAGTCGCAGCCGTTTCTGTTCTGTGGAAGCTATGGATTCCCAGATCTCCACATAAGAGAAACTTGAAACCGAATAAATAAAATAAAAATTCTCAAAGTATTGGTCGAATAATACCGCGTCAAGACACCCGTTATTTGGTCTATTGTGCCTAGTAAAATAATATTGCGGGGAGGATATTAGGCGTCGTTTTTTACAAAGGCATCCGTCATTTTTTTTTCTCTCATGAGTGGAGGGTGATACTGTTCACCACCATTGGCCGATTACTGATATTTTTTTTTATTACTGAGAGTAGCTTATTATTTTTTTATTTTTAAAACGTATAGTTTGAATCATATTTAGTTTTATTATTGTAGATTTTTTTCTTATGGCTAAAAGCCGGCCGTTTTCATTAATAGCAAGGAATTTGTGCTAAGGGTGTTAGTGCCCACCGTTTTAATTTTTTTTAAAGGAAAAATTGTTATTTTTATTTTCTTATGGGTATAGTATAGGTCATAGTTAATTTTACCGTTTTATCAT